CCCCTGCAGCCTGCAGAGATTTGGCTTCCACACCTGAGCAGCCGCAGCAGGCAGGGCAGCGGTAAACAGGGCACAGAGAGCCTTTTGTTGAAGCTCAGAGAGGCTGGGAAAACTTCCCAGGCAAGAGGGGAGGGGGGAGGCTGTCTCTCCAACACTCTCCCAGGGAAGGGGGCAGGGCCATTTCCAGGAGGCCCCAGAACACACTGGGTCACTGGCCTTGTCCCAGGAGGGCTCTGGGCCTGTGAATCTGCTCCTTGGCCAGCGCCCCCAGCCTCCTCTGGTCCCAGAGCCAGAGAGAGAGGAGGGGACCTTGTCATAGTGCGCACAGCCCACGCCCGCCCAAGCGCGAGGCACTGCCCTCTAGGCCCCCACACCCAGCTGGAGTGAGTCAGCAGCTGTGGGCTGGGGGCGCTGCCTGGCTTGGCACTCTCCCTGCGGAGAAGGGCACACCCTCACTTCCCGGGGAGGGAAAAGGGGAGACTTCTGGGCCAGAGGGGGAGGGGAACAAGTTTCAGTTCCAAACTGCTCTCACACTGGGGCTGGGCCTCCCAAACAGGCTTGTCCTCCTGCATTTGCAGGGGCAGGGCCTGCCTTAGGGGTAAAGGGTGCCAGGTAGGGACACCCACCCTGGACTTCCCCCACCGGGAGCAGGAGGCCAAGCTGGAGGTCAGGGCTCCCCCCCCCTCCCCGCACCCCTCCAGACTGGCATTAGCGGCTGGTTACTGATACCCAGCACTTCCTGTGCCTCAGCTCCCAAACTCCACCCAAACCAATAGGTGGCTCCAGTGTGTGACCTTTGGAAAGCCACTTGGCCTGCCAGGACTCTGGCTTCCTCATCTGTAAAATGGGCTGATGAATCCATTCCTTATAAGGTGGTGAGGACTGGAGGAGGCAGTCCATAGAAACTTCTGGCCCAGTGCCTGCCACTGCAATGTTAGCTGCTGTTATTGTTATGGTAAATTTTATTTGAGCCTTTAAGGACCTCAAGTCCGAGGCCCAGGGAGGGTAAGTGACCTGTCCAAGGACACAAAACTAGGTGGCAGGGAAGATCACCCCAGATCTGACTTTCCATTGTGCCAATCCGCCTCAAAAGCTGATCTCCTGGGCCTGCCCAGGTACCCAGACCCGGAGATGCTTCCCGAAACGAGGTCCCTTTTCCTGAGGGAGGCAGGGAAACCAGGCGTCTTTCTGGAACCCCACAGGCCATACTCAGAGGCATCTGCGTCTCTCAGGTGCAGCTTTAAGGGAACTTTGGAAGGGAGCCCAGCTCTGGGTCTGGGCCCAGAAGCTCGGTGTCGGGTGTGGGCCCGTGGGGCAGAGAGGCCTTAGAGGCAGGTCTTGCTCTGCTATGAATACCAGTGCCCTGGCTGGGTGGCTCAGTTGGTTGGAGTGTCCTTCGTCCTGGATGCCAAAAAGATTGTGGGTTCAATTGTCAGGGCACATAACCAGGTTACAGTTTTGACCCCCAGTCGAGGCGCATACGGGAAATAACTGATCAATCTCTCTCTAAACTCCATTTTTAAAATGTCCTTGGGTGAGGATAGAAAAAGCAGCACTGCCTTCTGGACAGGTTACAAAATGTGGGCAGGAGCATCCCAGGTGCCGATGCAGCTTCTGCTGAGATCCCAGGGGACTGGGGCCGCGGGGGGCTGCCCCCTGGGATGCTGACCAGGGCACCAGCTGGGAGGTTTGAAGGATGGGATGGGTTGCCAGGCCGCCCCACTCCGTCAGTGCACCTGCCGACACCCCGACTCTGTCAGAGGGCGTGAGTTTGGCAGCGCCTCTGAGATGTCCAGGTGGCACGTGAGAGCTGTGGAATTTTACAGCCACTCCGGACAGAGCCTATATGGTAGCTGTCTATTTAATTTAGAGGTTTTCCGCCCTCAAGAGATGCCTGAATGTAGAACTTGCTACGAGATGCAGCAGAAACGCATCAGGGGAGTCAGCAGGGATGTCTGTGGCTGGCAGTGAAAGCTATTCTAGGAACGGCAGCCGCACACATCCATGAGGAGGGCAGGTGAAATGTCCACACCCGACACACATTCGGGAGGTCACTAACACCCCGGTCCTGAGGGGAGCTCAGCCGGCTTCAACACCCAGGGCGTCGGCTCTGGTGGCAGCGGGACTCTGTCCCCAGAGGCGGGGCCGGGGCTGAAAGCATTGCCCTGGTCTGTGACCACCGGCCTCGTGACAGACAGCCTGGGGAGCTTCTTCCAAGCACAGATTCCTGCTCCAGCCCCCAGGCTCTGCCTGCAGGTCCCTGGGCTTTGGGCGCAGGGGAACCAGCGTTTTCAACAAGCTCCCAGGAGACTCTGAGGTACCCTCGCCCCAAACCTGAGAACCTGGAGAAAAAGAGAAGTGGACGGTGGGGGTGAAAGCGCAGGCTGCCAGGGCAAACAGAACCAGGTTCGGGTCCTGGCTTTGCCGTTCAGGCAACTTTGGGCAAGAGCCCTGGTCCCTGCCAGCCCGGGTCCCTGGCCTGTAAAACGGTGACACCACCTCCACAGGTGGCCGTGGCAGGGAGGGTGCAAACGATGTCATGACCTAGCACAGTGCCCAGGGCTCAGATCGCGGCCACAGAGGACGACCACGGGGCCCGAAGGCCCTGCTGCTGGAAGGAGGGAGGAGGAGGCAGAGAGGCCAATTCCAGGCCACGAGCCTGAGAACCCTGCCACGTGAGGGAGAGTCCTCGGGCACAGATCTCCTCCGCAGCTTGCTCCTGCCAAGTCACTCCCCCGGTTCCACAAAACCAGGCCGCAGGCCCGAAGTCCCTCCGGCCCAAACCCAGCCTGAGGTCTCTGTGCCCCAACAGAGCATCTTCGACCCAAGCCACAGCGCTGGCCCCTCCATCTTCTCATCTGCCCACCCTCAAGGCTCACCCCTGAAACAAGCATTGCAAGAGCATCAAGACCAGGGTTTCTGCCAGGAGCTGCCAGGGTAAACTGAGTCAGGGCCAGATTCAGGCAAACGCCACAACTCGTGGTATCCCCTCAACCTCCCAAATGCCCCCCTGCCTTAGGCAGTCAGGGAGGTCAAAACCTAAAGGCCATCCCCTCCCAACCCCACCCCCGGCAGGCCCATGCCATTCCCTCCAGGCCGTCCCTGGCACGAGGAGGAATTCTGATCTCAGATAAGTAGGACCTGCTGCTTCCTGCTCATCGCTGGCCAGAGGCAGCTCAGGCCTCCCTCTCCACAGGACAGAGTTCCTCAAATCCAACAGGAAACTCCTACAGGGCAGGGCCCAGATTTGCTGACCTTGTCCCAATGAACAGGAGAGTCAACAAAATCACACCCCAGGCACTTCCCACCCGCCTCTGCGGCTGCAATGCCCCACACACTGCTCAGAGCCCCGCATGGAGAGGAGAGGGAGCGATGGCCGTGGGAGAACCAGTGTCGGGACCTTCAGACCGCCCCTCTCAGACCGCCCCTTGCCTGGGAGCAAGGCCCAAGGGTAACCATTAATGAAGCAAGAGCAAGCGGTGGACAGCAGCTGTAACAGGACGTGCTTTTGGATAAATAAGCCAATAGCAATAACACATGTGGAAGAATATACCCCTCGCCGTTCACACTTCTGGAGAGGGGGACCTCAGGAAACTTTCACTTTCCACATGACATTAAAACGGAAGCATGATAAAAACATAATCAACATGCAACTATGTTGGTAACCACAAAATAATAACAACAAGATTATTATTTCTTTTCAAATCCGGGCTAGGGAGGGCCAGGCCTCCCTTCACAGAAAGCCGAGGTGGGAGGTGGATCAGGGAGGCCTGGGGCACGGAGCTAAGGAACTGGCCCGGGATTCCAGGATCAGGTTCAAGTCTCATGTCCCTACCTTCTTTCCTGATGAGTTTGGGTAAATTGCTTCTCTCTCAGCCTCAGCTTCCATGTCTGTAAAAAGGGGATGAAACCACTGTCTGAGCTCCCTCAAATGATCAAAGGAGGTCATGGATAAAGGTGTGTTTTCCAAACCATAGAGCCGTCTATGCACACACCGCTATGACCAGGGAGCGAGCTCTGGGACACACACTCAGCTAATGCCTTTCCCTGTATCAGCATATTTACTCTTCAAACCATCCTAAAGGGAGGTGAGGTACTGATAGTATCCTCCCCCCCCCTTTTTTAAAATATATTTTATTGATTTTTTTTACAGAGAGGAAGGGAGAGAGATAGTCAGAAACATCGATGAGAGTGAAACATCAGCTGCCTCCTGCACATCTCCCACTGGGAATGTGCCCGCAACCAAGGTACATGCCCTTGATTGGAATCGAACCTGGGACCTTTCAGTCCACAGGCCGATGCTCCATCCACTGAGCCAAACCGGTTTCTGCTATTATCCCCTTTTTATCCATGAGGAAACTGAGGCTCATAGCGGTCCACAGTCACTTATGGAGACAGCTGAACATAAACCCAGATCTGACTTCAAGGTGCTGGTCCTGACCAGTGCATTCTCCTACCTTTAGGAACCGTTTTCCAAAGTGTAGGCCAAGGAACCCTAGTCCCCAAAGAGGTCCATCCACACGATCAAGTAAGTGTGGGGAAACACGACTTGCTCGCTCCTTCTCAGAGACTCATCATGCTCGCGTCAATGCACTCAAGGCTCTGAGAAGTCCTGCAGCCAGGACAAGTTGTTTTCCACTGTGACCAAGAAACTGGCGTTCCATGGAACACACCTTGGGAAATGTGGTCATGAGACAGTATCCACAACAAGCCAGACTGACAAGATCTGGGCTGAAGGAGAAAAACCAGAGGTTGGCAACGAAACTGAACACTGGCGTTTGAAGAGGACAGCAACCACGTACTACTCAGCAGGCCACTGAGCTGGGAGGAGCAGGAAGAATTCTGTCCTCTGTCACCTCTGCCCTAGACGCCCGGGACCCACAGTGAGAAGAGCCAAGGACTGCAGAGACGGAGGAGATACTGCCCTTTGCTCCCCAGGCCGGGGAAGGCACCAGAGCGGAGGTCGCGCTGGCCTGCGGGGAGAGGGGCCCAGTCCTTACCCCGGGGACGGCTCTGCTATCTGCGTGCTGGCTGTCGGTGCTGAGGCTGGCCCACTTCTGTCTGGGCAGGGTCCTGGCATTTCTTTCGCTCCATGGAAGCTGCCTCCCTGCGAGGAAGCAAGAGCTGCTGTCAGCAGGGATGTGTGTGACTATCAGCGTTACCTGCTGTGCTGCCAGCACTTTCTGAGTGCCTGTTTGGTGCCAGGCCCTCAGCTGGGCTCTGGGGTGACAAGAGGGAATCAGACAGTCTCGTGGGGAGATGCCAAGTCCACAGTTACCAGTGGCTGTTGAGAGCCCAGGGCCCTGCTGCGGGGAACCCAGGCCCTCTGAACAAACTTCCCCTCCTCCCCCTCCTCCACAGGAAGCCATGGGAGCATGGGGACACCCGGGACCCACACTGACGGGGTCAGGGCAGGCTCCCTGGAAGAGGTGTTGTCTGAGTTGACTGCTGAGGAAGAGTAGGAGTTGGAGAAAGAACATTCCAGGCGGGAGGAAGAGCACCGGTTTGCCTAGAGGGGGAAGAACATGGCATCGAGAGAAGGCTGAGTGGTCAACCTGGCTAGACCCAGGGCTGGAAGTGGGATGTGGAGAGAGGTGAGCTATTACGGGGTGAGCCAGGCCCAGGCAAAGACACACGATTTCAACTCAAACACAAGGCTCAACCATTGCCTATTAGTCAAGAAGCATTTAGTGAGCATCTACTACATGCCAGCACTCTGCTCAGAAATGTTCACAAGAAAGAACAAGACAAGTTAGCAGGGTGGGGAGAGTGTACTCAGACAGCAACAGGGGTAGGGGAGCATCTACATCCGCCGGAGCTGGGAGTGTGGCCCAGCCATCAGCGAAAGCCAGAGGACAAGCAGGAGTTAGCAGGCAGGAGGCGGGGGGAGTGCAGACAAAGTAGCTTGAAGGGTGCCAGGAGGGATTGTGGAGCCTTTCAACCATGTATGCCATGAGCCCTTATCCCTTACTCAGTGCTAGGCACTGTGCTGGAGGACAGAAGCAGAGGGTGGTCTCTCCAGCCCCCTGGGGAGACGGTAAGTCAGTAATCCCACATCCGGTGATGGCAACAAGGCAGAGAAGCACCCAGAGAAGCACGAGGCAGAAGCCAGAGGTCATCTAAGCCAGCCTCTACCCCACCTTGCCTCCTCGGCAAGGATGGGATGCACACTACGCAGTCCAGTCACTAGCCTGGGGCAGATCGGGACTAGAACTCCAGCCCCTGGACTCCTCGTAACCGAGTCTTCCACTCCTTCCTCCTCTAGGAAACAGTGACCAACCCCTGCATATTCACCCAGAGCTAATGCCTCTTTCCTCCGGGCGGCCTCGTCACATTTCTATTATTAAGCTACAGCGATGTTTTCCTGTCTGCCTCTCTTCCGTGACCGCAACTCAGGCCAGGCCAGGAGCCGTGCTCTCCTTGCACCACTCCTGGACCAGGCCAGGCACTTCCTGAAGGATGGCTGCGTGAGTGAATGAATGAGCCAGGGATGGAGAGTGCGCGCTGGGCTCTTGGGTGCCACATCCATCCCACCTGCTCCCCCGGAGGTCGTAGACCTCCTGCCTATGCCTCCGGGTCCCCACTCAGGGTCACCTCCACACTCAGGAGCCAGGAATCAGACTGATTCCTTCTCTCCAACTCCTACCAGGCGGCAGCCCAGTGCCCAGCCACATCCCCGAGTCCTGACCTATGAGGGTTAAACTTCAGGAGCCCCACTGCCCAGCAAGGCCACTCCAAGTCTGCAGAGGAAACGCTTCCTCATGGGCGTGCCAAAGGGATGGAGTACAAAAGCGCCTGGTTGCGTTCCAAGGGGAGTCATGAAGATGACTTCAGCCCCTGCTCTGTGCCCCCAGCCCCCCGGAAGGCAGAGGGGCACTAGACCCAACCCCAAAGAGCCTCTAAAAAACCGGGAACACAGGGAGGCAGACATGTCATTCGCGCCCACCATCTTCCCAAAGCCAGCCCTCCCGCACAAGTCATCTGCCCTTGCCTCCCCTGTGAGCCAGAGGGAGACTTGACCTTCACAAAGGCAACGCCAACGTGAATGAGCTATGGGCACTGCCCCGTCCCTCTGGACAAACTCCCACTCCTCCATCTCCTCCGCAGGAAGTGTCATGAACAGGCCTCCCTGTCTGCCTCCGGTCTGTCTGCCTGTCTGTCTGCCAGTCCGTCTGCTCGGAGGGCAGGACACAGTGTGGCAGGGGCTATAGGGGGTCCTGATTGGAAAGGGAGAGAGGCTCCTGGGAGGCTCTCCGCTCCTCCAAGTCCGTCCTCCGCACTTTAGGCCCACATGCCCTTTCCCTCACCATCCGCATCCTCAAAAGGCTCCCTGGGGTAGGGCGGGGAAGAGGTAGCTCAGGGGACTGTGGTCACGGAGGGGCGGCCCCACCCTTTCAGTCAAGTCCCTACCGGGGAGGCTGCCAGACACCCCCAACCATCCTCTTCCTTTCCAAAAAAGGCAGCAGTTGCATCAGCGGGGACCAGCCCCATCTCGGTTCATTCCAGTCCAGATCAAGGGGAAGAAGCCGTCAACCAAAGGGGCAGAATCATCATGAGCCGCAGGGACCCTGGGCGATGTGCCTCCAGCCTGGGAGCCAACTCTGCGGGGTCTCCAGCTCCCCTACAGCGGGCGGCCGGACTCATCAGATCTGCCCCAGGCCCATCTGGAGGCACAGGACGTGGCAGACCGCAGGGCCTCAGACCCAGGACCGGTCTTCCCGGGGACCCCAGCCCAGACAGGCCGCAGAGCCTAGCGGGGGACCCGGTCCCCAAGTCGGGTGGGTGTTCCCGCCGGATCAAGAGGAGGAGGGGCCCACGGGGAACAGAGGGGTCGGGTGCCCAGGGGAAGAGAGCAGGGGGAGCCTTTGAACATGAAAAGGAGCTGGCAAGGGGAGAGCCCAGAGGTGGAACCTCTACGCAGGGGGGAGTGTGCGTGTGGAGGGGTGAGGATCTGGGGGAACCCAGGGGATGACAAGGGGACCTGGGGGAGCCGAGGCGGAAACTCCCAGTATGTAGAGCGCAGGGAGGCACGGGGTGCCTGGGAGGGGGCTCGCGCGCCGCGGCACCGGGGAGAGGGTGCGGCCGCAGAGACCCCGGGGATGGGGAAGCCGGACGCCGGACGCAGACAGAGGACCTGCCGCGGGAGGCCCCACGGAGCCGGCCCCGGAGGGAGAGCTGGAGCCGCCCGGAGGCCTGGAGCCGGCAGCCAGCGGCGGGCGTGTAGGAGTGGGTTTTGAGAGGTGACAGCTCGCGCCCCTTCCCCCACCCGACCCACTCACCTGGGCCCGCCGCGCCCGGCCGCCCAGCAGGCAGCCCCTGGGCCCCCGCCTCTCAGTCCGGCCACCGGTCTCCGGGCCCCTCCGGCGCCTCCTTTTGTTTGTCCCTCACTGCACCACTCAGTCTCCTCCGCCCCGGAAGTGACGTCACCCAAGGCGCGAACGCGGCGGCCAGGGCGTCGCCATCTTTTTAAGAGGTGCCGTGTCCGCGCCCTCAACCCCTCCTCTCCTCGCCGACGCCATGTTGTTTTGGGGCGGAAGTAGCGGAGCCCCGGCTCGGCCCCTTTAAAGGGACAGGGACGGTCCTAACCTTCGCGGAGTCCTTGGTGACAGGGGGAAGCGGCGGGCGCAGAGGTGAGTAGCTGATCTTGCTGAGCATTGCTGCCCCGACGTAAATGTCGAGGCCGGAGGGAGTGGTAACCGGTGCCAAGCTGGATGGTGCCAAAGTGCTCGCCGCACTTGGTGCTGCTGTAACAGCAGATCGGCTGCCGCAAGGTTCCCCCGCCGGAAGCCGCCGGCGGGAATGAATCGCGCGCGCTTCTCGTTGCCCCGCACTCTGGTCCTGCCGCACCACATCCCCTCCCCACCCCGGGGTAGTACGGGTGCGGAAGGTCGAGCAGAGCCGGTCCTGGAACCGGGTCCGGACCCCAGCTCTGCAGCTCTGAATCGCGAGTCCTCGCAGTTCCCAGCCGAATAAGAGTAACGGTGACCACGTTAAACAATAATCCATACGGTGGCGTACTGTGCAGCCACTGAAATGAAAACTGTTCAGTATGCACAAATGCAGGACGACTTCCAAGATACCTTAGATTTAAAAAAAAAAAAAAAGGAGCAAAAAGTAGAACAGCGTTGGTCGGCGTTGCCGTTTCAGGAGCTTGTGTGGGGTTAGGTGTCTGCGAGTGTGTGCACCGCCCCTCCGCTAAGATGCACGGGGAGCGAGCTGTGGTGCCCCGGGCAGAAGGGGGCCCTGGGTACCCGGGAAGGGGGAAGAAGTTACGACCACGTGCACAAGTTGGTTATTTAAACAAGAGGACGGTGACGGTGATAACAGCGCTCCTCTCTCGGGCCCTGAGCCAGCGCCTGGTTTCAGCTCTCCTGCTGGGAGGACTTACCGTTCCCTGTTATTAGGGGCGGAAACTGGCCGGGAGAGGTTGGATCTTAGCAATATCTCATAGCCAGCGAGTGGAGGAGCTGGAATGTGAGCCCTGGAGGATTTTACACTAATACCTGTTAGGTCGCCGAGGAGGAACGCAGGAGGCCAGAATGGCGAGGGATTAGGAATTTATTCGATCCATGCACCCCAGGTGGCTGAGCCTGGATGGCTCCAGCGCCCAGTGAGCGGGTCAGCGGCTTTTAAAGACTTTTGGTGGGCTCCTTCTGGGCGGAGACCCGGAGGGGAGAGGATGGAATGTGGTCTCAGCAAAGGGGATGCCCACAGTGAAGTGGCCTGAAAAGCAGTTCCCAGGGGAGGGGTGTCGATTCAGTTATTTGATCAGACTTAAATGCCCACATTTCTGGCCTATCCACTCCCTAGAGAAGCTTTTTTTGTTATCAACCATACGAGGCGGGCCTGGGCCCAGCACACAGCCGGTGCCCATTACCTGTCATGGGCTGTTTACTGAGTGAACAAGTGGAACAAACAGGATGAAGACAGGCAAACACTGGAGGCCAGACTCCCGACTGGAGTCCAAGGCTGGCCCTTCCCAGCCTCGACACAGCGGCCGTGACCCCCACGACCCCACCAAAAAAATGAAAACCGGGGCCGCAGGGGCTGACACAATGCTCCCACCTGCCCTGCTTTGTGCTTTACATGCAGATTAGCCCCATTTCACAGGTGAGAGCAGAGGAAGGCGCCCCCACAGGGTCCCCCCAAGGCCGCACTAGTGTAGTGACGGAACCCCAGCAGTTCGCCTCTGTGATGGGTGCTCCGGTGGCTCCGTCCCTGGGGGAGTCCAAGAGGGGTTCTCAGATAGGGGCGCTGTTAATCTCTGACTGAGAGATGCACAGATGTCTGGGAGGAGAAATGATGAGGCTGGAGCAGTGATTTTCAACCGGTGTGGCGCAAGAATTTTAAAAACATGCGATCCCTGACTATTTCGTCAGGGGTACTGACCTCTTACCTTAGATTGTGAAATTAAAAAAATGACAACAGCCCTGGCTGGTGTTGCTCGGTGGTTAGAGTGCCGGCCTGCACACTGAATGGTCAAGGGTTTGATTCCTGTCATGGTCAAGGGTATGTGCCTGGGTTGCAGGTTCCCTCCCCGCCCCCAGTTGGGGGTGGTGCCCGAGGCAATCAGTTGATGAGTCTCTCTCACCTGGATGTTTCTCTACCCCCGCCTCCTTCCATCCCTTGCTTTTTGTGGCCCCGGAGGCAGACATTCCCCACCCCTGGAGTAAAGGCTCAAGCAGAGACTAGCTCATACCTGCAGGTAACTGACATGATAGATGATGCAGCTTAGAAACATTCCGTCTGGCTTCTGTGTGAATCGCTCTTTCCTCCTGGAGAGAATTACTTCACATGGCAACATCTGTGGCTTCCCACCCTCCACGCCACACTTACCTCCCATAACTCCAAGGAGGAGGACTCCCTGGTTTATATTCAGGTGGGGGTGACAAAGAAACACGGGAGAGTCCAGAGCAATGAGAAAGTCCTTCACACCGATGACCCCCCGCCTTCATTCGGCCCCCAGAGTGGCAGTCAGCTTGCTGACACTCTGCCCATGTAAATAAAAGTGTCAGCGCAGGAGGCTCCTGGCTGTCACCTGGGTGCTCAGGTTGCCAGTGTGCCGGACATCTGGCTGAGCATGGCGCCTCCCTGTGTAGCCAGCAGGCCAGGGTCACTCCAGCTGCAGTGGGCGAGGAGTCACTCTGCCCTAACCAGATGTGGGCACTGCCAGCTCCCTGGAAAAGTTCCCAAACGATCATCTTCCGTCCTCGTCCCGGGGCAGCGGTTGGAGCTTTGAATTGACCGTTGGGGTCCTTCTCTGCTTTTCTAGGGCTGTGACTTTGCATAAGTCATTTCCCGGCTTTGAGCCTCAGTTTCTCCATCTGTAAAACTGATGTGACTCGCTCTAATGTTCCAGATACTAAATACTATATATACATATATTTCCACCTCGTGTGTAAAACTGCCCTAATGAGTGACATTTCAGGAGGAATAAGGAGTGGGGTACCTACTGTGTGTCTCATTCAGGGTCCCACCCACTAGCCCTGCTGTAGACCCAAGAACCTGCAGTCTGGGCTCCAGAAGTCATTTCTCCTTTGCAATTCCAAGCCCGGGAGGACCTATATATAAGTCAGTGTGCTTGTCAGAGCTCCCCAATCAGGCTGTCACCTCCCTCGGGACAGTTTTTCACAAAACCCTTGTCTTATAGGGACTCTGGGTTTTTAGATCCCTCACCTCCCCCCCAAAACAGGATTCATTATCTGACAAGAGATTTTGTTAACCTGCTCGGTTAACTAACTTAATTGGAAGCCTTCGGTTTAAATATTAACAGTGCTGGGTATGCAGGTTGCTGTGGGCCAGGACCTGTGCTAAATGCTTTCTGTGGTGATGGCACTGTAATTGTCCCCACTGGACAGATGAGGAAGCTGAGCCTAGAGAGGACCAAGGCCTGGTAGCTAGTTTAGAGAGGAGCTGGGATCAGTTTACCCACGTTCAAGTCAGAGTCCAAGCGTGCACCTCCTGTGATTGTTCAGGTAACAGACTGGCCTTGCCTGGGCATGGGACGCTCTCCCCAGCGGAGCCATGGTCGGTGTTTTCTCAGTAACTGGGAAGCTCCTGGCATTTTGAGCCCAGGAACGCTATACAGCCTTCTAGCCTCTGGATCGATGGGCCCAATGCAGAACTGACTCCAAGTACCCATTGTGAAATACTTCAGCATTTAGCACAGGTCCTGGCCCACAGTAACCGCATACCCATGCACTGTTAATATTTAAACCGAAGGCTTTCCATAAACAAATGTCCTTATTGCACAGAGTTGCTTGGTGAGGTGAGGCAGTCTGCAAAGCCAAAATCACCTGCCTGTCCCTTGCAAGCTGCCAAGCAGGAAGGAAGCTGGACGAGGCGTGGCCACGTTTGTCCCCGCGGGCCGGCTGAGGGTCCCCCACAGGCAGGGGAGCAGAGAGAGGCAGCTGCACCCACCTCCTGAAAGAGGGGTTTTTGGAAAAGAGGTTGGACTTTGGAGACAGGAGAACCAGGATTTGAATTCTAGCTCCAGCTGTCACAGCTGAGCGAGCTTTGTTCATTCTCCTCTTAGGAGCCAATAGGGATAGTAATGCCTTCCTACCAGACTGCCGTGAAGATTAGGGACTTTAGCACTGAGGTCAGGCGCATAGTAGGTGCTCTCTGAGTTCAGAGAAGGGCCCGGGTGGACACTGAAAGCTTCCGCGAGGAGGCAGAGCTGGGGCTGGGCCCTGCCAGGGGGATTGGCTCGGAGGGCATGCCACGCAGGGGTACAGCTTGAGCAAAGGTGGGTGATGTCTAGTCAAAGGCAAAGGATTGATGTGTTCGGAAGAGGAGAGAACATAGAGACTGCAGAGTCTGGATTCAGGCCTGCTGCAACGTCCAGGCTGAGGAGGCATTAGGCCAGTGGTTCTCAACCTCCTGGCCCTTTAAATACAGCTCCTCATGGTGTGACCCAACCAGAAAATTACTTTCGTGGCTACTTCATAACTGTCATGTTGCTACTGTTATGAATCGTCATGTAAATATCTGATATGCAGGATGTGATAGGGTTGTTCTACCGCCAAAGGGGTCGCGACCCACAGGTTGAGAACCGCTGCATTAGACTCTATCTGGCATCCACGCAGGCTGCTTGGCAAGGCCTGTCCAACAGGGGGTGTGGCTCACGTCACAGTATTGGTCACTGAGGCATTTCCCTAGGGATCATGCACCTGTGGGTCACCAGTCATGGTGACTTCTGGCCAAGAAGGTGGCCAGTAGCTGCTCAGGCTGATGGAGGCATGTGTTGGGGGAGGACACTGACCGCTGGCCACCAGTCCCTGGCCTGGCAGCAAGGAAGCCTGGGCTCTTAGATGCCTGGGCAGCTGCAGTAGAGGGTCCCAAGGGTCATCTGGTGCCGTCCAGGCGGGTTTGGCCTCCTGAGCGCTTCCCCCCGCCCCTCCCCCAGCTGCCTGCATGGCTGCACTTCGCCATGGACTGATGTTTAATAATAATAATAATAATAATAATAATAATGACATTGTTGAACGTTGACTGCCGGGCACCATGCTAAGTGATTTCATTTGTTATCTCATTGACATCTTGCTACAGCCTTATGAGGCAGGCATATTATTGTTCTTATTTCAGGAAGTATTCCCAGAAAGGTTTAGTAATTTGCTTAAGTCATAGCTAGTCAATGGCTTCAGCCAAGTTCTGTCTGATTTCAGAGCTTCAGTCTCTCTGTTGTTTTTTTTTTAAATCAAACTGTATATCAATCCCAAAGAATGCCATGGTTAATAAGTTAGTGGTGTCCCTGAAAACATCCGTATGCACAAACATATATGTAATTAAGCAGTTCTTACTTTGCACGGTTCTGATATGGATGAGTTCCAGGTACCACCACTTAAAATAAATTTTAACTTTAGTTAATTTTTAGTTAAAAAATTAAATTTTTTTTGCATCAAGGACACCAGTTTCTCAACACGGTTTGAATTTCAGCTGCTGTGTTATATTAACTATGAGTAATGGCGTAAAGTGTGGACTTCGCTGCTAGCGCTTCAGTCCACAGGTGTGCATAATGGTCAGTGACCAATCACATCACTTCTTTCGAAGCCTGTTTTTATTTTTTAAGGTATTATTTTCTTTTTCTTTTTAAATATATTTTTATTGATTTCAGAGAAGAAAGAGGGAGGAGAGAGAGATAGAAACATCAGTGATGAGAGAATCTTCAATCGGCTGCCTCCTGCACGCCCCCTACTGGGGATGGAGCCCACAAGAAAGAAACATCAATGATGAGAGAGAATCATTGATCGGCTGCCTCCTGCACTCCCCCTGCTGGGGATCGAGCCCACAACACGGGCATGTGCCCTTGACTGGAATTGAACCTGGGACCCTTCAGTCTGCAGGCGGATG